TTTCAGGGATACAGTTGCCAGAGCTTCCCAAAACAGGCTGAGTTTCCTCTGGGTGGCACAAACTTGCTTGATTCACTTCTACCAACGGTGTCCGGGTCCCAGATGCCAAAGTCACACTCTCCTGATCTGAATGGATCACTAAGCTCTGAATTAAAAGAGATTGGCTTCAAATGCACTTATTTTCGTTATTATTAAATAGTTCATGGGTTGTCTCCTAATACAAGAGGATAGATTTTTATCTTAACTGACTAAAAGTTCATTATGTTCTGTGTAAGAGAGGCAGGTTAAAATTTTTTGAAAACAAGGCCAGGTGCAGTGGCTCATGCCTATAATCCCAGCACTTTGGGAAGCCAAGGCAGATGGATCACCTGAGGTCAGGAGTTAGACACCAGCTGGACAACATGGTGAAACCTCATCTCTACTAAACACAAAAATTAGTTGGGTATAATGGCACATGCCTGTAGTCCCAGCTACTTCAGAGGCTGAGGCAGGAGAATCACTTGAACCTAGGAGGTAATGGTTATAGTGAGCCAAGATCATGCTATTGCACTCCAGCCTGGGCAACAAGAGCAAAATTCCATCTCAAAAAAAAAAAAAAAAAAAAAAAAAAAAAAAAAAAAAAAAAAAAAAAAAAAAAAAAAAAAACCTGAAAACATATGTTAAAAAGCATAGCTCAGTAAGAAATTGTATTCTTAATTATAACAATAATTCTGGAACCCTAATGCAACTTTACTTTTTAAATCCATTTGTATGGGTTTCCATTTAAATTGTTATTTAACATTATTTTTTTACTTTAGGCAAAATATAAATCAGTAATGAAGATACAATGGCTTATCAATAAAAGTTCTAATACTGATGTATATGGCTTATTTCTGGCATAAAAAAAGCCAGTAAGTCACTTGCATTTTATTTAATTGTACTTTAGGTTCTGGGGTACAAGTGCAGATCATGCAGGATTGTTGCATAGGTAAATACATGGCAATGTGGCTTGCTGCCTCCATCCCCCCGTCACCTATATCTGACATTTCTCCCCACGTTACCCCTCCCCAACCTCCCTACCCCCTGCTGTCCCTCCCCTAGTCCCCCACAACAGACCCCAGTGTGTGATTTTAAGGGACATTGCTGAAAAGAAAGATATAATGTCTGCAATATTCATAAACTACCCAACTATCACCAGGAATAATCTAAAATGTCTTTTAGACATTCTTTTNCAGCCTCCACACAGCAGGCCAAACAGTGATGAGTCTCAAGGGACACCAGATCTGATTCTTAAGACAAGCCTGAAGTCCAGATTTCTGCAAGCCTGAAGTCCAGATTTCTGCAAGTCCAGATTTCAACAGTCAACAATTTTAACTGTTGACCCAATTTAAGGAGTCCAAAAAACAAATCTATGTGCCACATTTAGACTATAGCCCTTGTGTTTTTATATTTGGTACAAATGTGTTACTAAATAGTTGTGTATAAACCAAGTATTTGCTTGTGTAACTTTTTCTTTCTCTAGTGTCATATGTTTTACCAAAAACTCAGGCCCTGCTATGTATATATGTATCTATCTATATAATAAAAATTGCTGTTAAGACTCCTAATACCCATCTCGAGAATTTTCCCAACATGTATTCATTTACAATCTCTTTGTATATCATTTTCCCAGATTGTTAACCAAATAGATAAGTAGTTCATAGGACTGCTGAAACTAAATTATTTAAAAGAATTCCCACTGTATTCTCACTGACTTCATGGATTTCAGTGTTTAAAACGGACACACTGATTATGCCAAAGCTCCATAACCTTAACAGACATACTGCGATAGCCCACAATATAACTTAAACTGAAAAAAAAAGGTTCAGTATTTGCTACTAATCAATTGAAAAAACCTCACTTGTGATGAACATTTGTTGACACATAATCACCTAAATGTTGACAAAGGAACATGAAATCGTAAAAGGGTCAGCCACCACTTATTGAAAGGTTACCTACAAGCAAATTTCTAAAGACTCTCTGAATAGCAGTGAATGATTCATGATGAGAAGGAAAAGGTGTTATTCTGTAAGCTGAGAGATATTACCAATAATATTTCCTTTCACTTCCCAGTCACAGACATAGAGAAAGACAGATAAGTCAGGCTAATATTGTTGGAAAGGAGAATTTGGAGGAAGTAGTGCTTATCAAATGCCAACTCTTTTAGAGATTTCTTACGTTTTTCAGATATGGGAACTTGCATACTGCATTCGTCTATTCT